ACTATAAGCAGTTAAAGAAGTGGTTAAGGGCTCCACAACTAATAGTTCGACTTAAGTATTGGTCGTAGGCTCCTTCTCTACATTCGTTCCTTTACAAAGCAATTTGATTCACTTCCATTGCATTACCCTTACTGGTTTTGGGCTTCTTCATTATTGAATCATCTACAAGCACATAATAATTGAGAGACATGAAGCAGTTGCATCAACAAATTGCAAGGTAGTGGAATTATCTTTAAGGAGAGCTCACCAGTAGTCAAACAAATCTCAATCACTAAGGTTGCAACACATTTTTCCATCTTCTCAGCACCTTCCATACATAATTTTTAAAAATAGTCATGGGATCAAGTCATTGTTCAACAAATTTCTCAGCATCAAGACACTAGAGTATCGAGATCTTAAGAAATCGAAATAAGAAAAATATAGATAGCAGATATTTATTTACCACAACTAAACTCCATGAATGTAACTGTGTTAGAGCTTTTCTAATCATTCAGAGGGTTAGAAAATTTTCCTCTTGCAATGATTTTTTGGTCAATAGTCGATGGCTTCTCTGGAGCAGGATCTAAGGCTTACGACATAGGAATTTCCTCTAGACCTTTTCCATTTCATTTAGATCAACTTCCAAGTTCAGAATCAGAATCAATGTGCTACGCATAAGAAAATCTAATTGTTCTTTCATCTCAACAGCCTTTAAACTCTTGGCTTTGTCAATCTTTCTTTTAGAATCTTCGGAGCCCGTAGAACATTTCCATCTCTTCAACCGCTCATGCATTATCATATTCAACCATTCTTCTAGACTATCAATCCATCCCTTGAAAATTTTTCACATTGGAGCAAGATCAATGTAAAAGTTAACTCCTAAGAAAAAAGGAACACAAGAACGAAGTCTCTAATTTACAATTTCAATGAGGACTTGCATGATCATTATATATCGTAGAAGGAGTTAACATGAGAAACTCTTCTTATAACAACTGAAATTAATTATGTTATTATTAACATTATTTCCTTCTTTTATAAACCAAATAATGACACATCAATGATTGTTGTAAATTTTAAAGTTGTATTTATCTCAAATGATATGATAGTTATTCTCGAGCAATACAATGAGGCAAACACTAACACGCCATCCATAACAGGGAAGTCTCAAACTCTTCATGCTCTATTCCATCACTTCTATAGTTTTCTAGTGGTTGCAACAAATCATACCCCTCATTTCCCATCGAAAAACATGCTTTCTTGTTAGGGGTAACTTGATAAGGTGAAATCCTTCTATATCTCAAATGGACCAAAACAAGGGAAAGAATCACTTGCACCACCTAAAAAATAAAGGCTTTTGAATGAGATACAATCTACAACTACTCGAGAACACTTGTGACTATTCCCTACAGGTGTAGCTTTAGAATCCCCATAGGTAGGAAAGTCCAAGCTCGATAGTAAACTCTTGCGACTACTCTTCAAGAAATAACAGATAAAAGCTTATTTGTGGTAGAAAACATCATTTTGATTGAATCTGAGCAATTGTGTCTTTAAACTAACCTTGACAGGGCAGAGCAATTGTTGTGATCTTATCATCTCTTTTTTCACACATAGAGACGACATATGCTCATATTTTTTCTTATTCCCTCGTGCTTTTTCAGTATCACATCAAAGTGTTAAGAGAATTGAGGAACTTAATATATATCCAAAAAGGAATTTCCTTGTAAACAAGATAGCCAAGTATGAGTTCATTAACCATGCACTTGATGTTCTAACTCTGACAAGGCCAATCATACTCATTAGCCAACTTTTGGAGGTGACAGGCTGTCAAGCTTTTTGCCTCATAGAAATACCTAGTGAGTACCTCTAAAGCTCGTGAGCATTTATGTGAGTTCCTCCAACCGAGCTCACCAATCTTAAGCCTTCGGGTAAGCTCCTCCAATAGAGCTCTCTCACATTTCTCGAGTTCTTTTACTAAGCTCGCTTGCACCACTATAATCCTTATACGTAGCTCACCAATAGCTACCTGACTGCATCACCGAGCTCGACGAACAGTTTTTTGAAGTAGAAGGAAAAGAAGTTTAGGGTCTGTTTGGGGCAGCTGCAACTTATCCA